ATTAAATATAATAGGAACCTTGATGCTTAGGGTTGAAGCACTTCAGGAAACTTGCTTTGAATCTCTCAAGTGTGAAGAGTCTTAGGCCCCTTTCACATGGGGCTGACTCTGTTTTGATCAGCAGGTATCTGTCCATTGATTCCCTTCTGATCGGGGTAGAAAAGAGGTCCGTCTTATGCAGAGCAGACAGGGACAGAGCCTACTCTGCTCTATGGGTGGCCAGATATAAACAAACTTCACTTTTTGTTTACACCCAACTGCCCTCCAATCTTATATGCCTAGACAGAGGAGGAGGAGGGATACCCTTTTTTTTTAGTGGACCAGATATGATCAGAGGTAGGCGGGTGTAAATGGACACAAGTTAATTTACACTTGCATGTCCATAGGGGTGTATGAACCGTGCGATCAGGTTTACCTGAAAAACTGACAGATCAGACCTTACATGAGAAAGGGGCCTTAATGTGTTTCATGTATGTCACAAACCCAAGCAACATCCCTGGGAACAACTATGTGTACAGTGCCATATCATAAGCAATTGGATTTCTCCATAAGTGGAATGTGTTTGAGTAAATTCAATCTTATTAAAGCACAACTCCCAAATAGAAGCTAGTTCGGCTGTAACATTCCCCCCACCCTGCAAGCACAATTGTAGGGAATTTTTGTCTTTTGTCCCAAGTTTTTTTTTATTTTTAGCCTTGCCCTCAGCTTCCATTCCAACCTAGGCAAAATTGATTTGTACCTGGTTCTGCAGTCTCCTGGAATACATACAACACATCTTCCAGGAGGCTGCAGGATCAACACATAGAGAGGTCAGAGGTCATTTGTTGCTTCAGCAGATCTTGCTGCCTACACCTGGAAGAGGCAGCCAGCTGAAGAGGACCAAGATGGTGGCCCAATCCCGCTATGTGGCACCCGAATTGCAGATTGCAAAGCGACAATGGTGGATTTGCTGTGCAGGTATGTGATTTGAACAACACTAGAACACTGCAGGTAAGTGGGAAAAATCATGGGGTTGGAGGAGTTGAGTACTGCTTTATATTAAAGTTTAGCTGCACGGGTTCTTCTCTATTAACAATTTGTTATGATGCAGGCATTGTGTGTGAGCAGCAATTCCAAACAGACGCATTTCATTCTTATATACTGTTTTAATACTCTGACATTGAATCCCACAGTGCTATATACAATCCTTCTTGTATTATACATATGTATACTGTCCAACATAGACAAAAACAAAGTCAATCCAGCAGTAGATACCATTGATAGTCAAAACAGTCACTTTTCAAATGCTGAAGCCACATCAAAAACCGGATAATATGCAAGGAGTAAAAAATTTGAGAATTACAAGAGCAAAAAAGGTCTGCTGAGCAAGAGCATGCTGGGAAATATCCTTATTAACATTGGAGGCTTCAATGTCCATCCTCTCCTCTGCAGGTCTGTATCGTCTTCCTGTGGGATGCAGTTGGGTCAGCCTAATGATGACCAAGTGTGCAGTCATAAAAATACCATATAATGGGATCTCTCTATACTATAATACTGTATATTAACACTACTGTAAATACTTAAGACCAGTAAAACCTTTGCGGTGCAAGTGAACACTGGATACAAGCCTCAGCTCAAGGTCCTTTTTTGTTGGTCCTGCATATTCCTGCTTTAAAATGGCCCCTTCTTCTTGCTGTGAGGTCCTGGGGCCATTTTGTGCCTGTATTACAAATATGAGAAGTGTCAAACTACATTTACCAGAATTCTTTGTGCCAAGGCCAAACTTCACCCCCCATATCCTCCACCTACCTCTCAACCAACCTCCCATCATTGACAAATTAACCCGCCATCCCTGTGCAGACCTCATATCAGCATCGCTGGCACCCAGACTCTAAATACGGTATGTTACAAAGAAGATCTGTCCATTGGTATCTACGAGGTGTCCAGAATATAATGAGAATGAAGTACCTTCGCTCGAGGAGGGCTCTTTGAAGGGAGAAGCTGGCCAAGGTCACTTGGGATAAGGTGCCAGGTATACGTTAGAACACTGATTAGTTTCATGCCAGCCATGTCAGAGTTGAGATATTCTTTTAGTGCAAGAGTTGATGCTTTGCCCCTTTACTGGGGACTTGTTCCCCACCTACTGGAACTGTTCTTGCAACACAGAGTACCTAGGGACCTGGCCAGGAGTCACGAGTGATGAAGTGAGGCCTCAGGCGGAGAACAAGCATGGGTGTAAGAGAAGTGTGCTTTCTGTATCCAATAGTAAAATACATATCGTGGTCACTGGGAGTGAGGTGATGGGACTGAGTTGGTGAAGACCACAACAAGCTCCATGGTACAGTCTTTGAAATGCTACACACCTGCGGAGAGGTGAAGTCTAAAAAGTATGACTGTAGGGCATAGTGTCAAGAGCATAGAAGTCTGGCCACGGATTACCAAATGTCAAAAAGTGTGCTCTTGGAGAAGTCTTACTTTTAATCTAGATCGATGCCTTAATGCTGATTTCACATGAACGCAACTTCTGTCCACCACTGGGGACACTGGCGAGAGCTTGCTCAGGAATCCCTGCCCACGGGTGCTAAGCCCCGCCCACATGATCTTTGTGGTATACAAATGTTCTAATGTTATTGCACGTACGATTAAACCTTTCCTGCCCCTGAATCTGTATCAATCTGATGTCCCGCGCTGAGGACATGGTAATGAAAGTCATACTGGACAGCTATCAGTGGACACCTTGCACAGTCAAACACAGCTATCATTGACAACTTTGGCCTCCACTAAGGACCTATAGGTGTGGTCTCAGATCATGAGAGCAGACAGGCTGGTTGCACACAAGTCAATCCATAGATCGACTTGTGCACAACCAGCTAGCCCATGCATGGATTGTAATTCACCTGCTGAATTACGCTCAATGTATGGCTGGCTAAATCTAAAACAAAGCAAATGGCCCCCAGCTGCCCTGTTCAGTATGCATCTCACAAATAGGAGAGGTCCTCAGCTGCCTTATACAATCTGGTTCTCATACAGCAGAGGTGTCCTGTGCAGTCTGGATCTCACACAGCGGAGAGGTCCTATATAGTCTGCATCCCAGGAGAAGTCCTCAGTCACATTGTTCAGGCTGGATCTAACAAAGAAAAAAGGAGAGGGCACCAGGCACCCCATGCAGGCTGCATCTAACAAATAAGTCCTTAGAAGCCCCATTTTGTCTGGGTCTCACACAGGAGATAGGTCCTCAGTCACCCTGTGCAGTCTACAGCAACAGAGGAGAGGACCTCAGCCACCCCCATGCAGCCTGCATTTCACACAAAGTAGAGGTCGATAACCAACCTGTGTTGCCTCGATCTTAGAGAGGAGAGGCCCTCAGTCACTTCGTTCAGTCTGGATCTCACACAGCGGAGAGGTTTTTTCTGCTATCCTGTTGTTAGTCTGGATCTCACACAGATGAAAAGTCCTCAACTGCCCTGTGAAGTCTGCATTTCACACAGAGGATAGATCCTCAGCCACCCAGTTAAGTCTGCAACTCAAAACAGAGGGGAGGTTCTCAGCTACCTTGTTCAGTCTGGATCTCACATAGAGGAGAGATTCTCAGCTGCCCTGTTTAGTTTGATCTTACACAGAGGACAGGTCCTCAGCCACTCCGTTTAGTCTGACTGCATACAGAGGAGAGGTCCTCAGCTGCCCTGTGAAGTTTTGATCTCAAACAAAGAGGAAAAGTCTTCAACCACGCCATTCACCCTGCATCTCACCCAGAGGAGAGGTCCTCAACTACTCCGTGCAGCCTGCATCTCACCCAGAGGAGAGGTCCTCAACTACTCTGTGCAGCCTGCATCTCACACAGAGGAGAGATCAACTACTCTCTGCAGCCTGCATCTCACACAGAGGAGAGGTCCTCAACTACTCCGTGCAGCCTGCATCTCACCCAGAGGAGAGGTCCTCAACTACTCCGTGCAGCCTGCATCTCACACAGAGGAGAGGTCCTCAACTACTCCGTGCAACCTGCATCTCACCCGGAGGAGAGGTCCTCAACAACTCCATGCAGCCTGCATCTCACAAGGAGGAGAGGTCCTCAACTACTCCGTGCAGCCTGCATCTCACACGGAGGAGAGGTCCTCAACTACTCCGTGCAGCCTGCATCTCACCCAGAGGAGAGGTCCTCAACTACTCCGTGCAGCCTGCATCTCACCCAGAGGAGAGGTCCTCAACTACTCTCTGCAGCCTGCATCTCACCCAGAGGAGAGGTCCTCAACTACTCCGTGCAGCCTGCATCTCACCCAGAGGAGAGGTCCTCAACTACTCCGTGCAGCCTGCATCTCACACAGAGGAGAGGTCCTCAACTACTCCGTGCAGCCTGCATCTCACCCGGAGGAGAGGTCCTCAACAACTCCGTGCAGCCTGCATCTCACACGGAGGAGAGGTCCTCAACTACTCCGTGCAGCCTGCATCTCACACGGAGGAAAGGTCCTCAACTACTCCGTGCAGCCTGCATCTCACACAGAGGAGAGGTCCTCAACTACTCCATGCAGCCTGCATCTCACACACAGGGGGAGGTCCCAGCTCATTTTGTATTATGTAGACAGTCATCCTTTCAAAAGTGCTGAATGGATTGCCACTATCTCTTTATGTGGTGGACTTGTTAGGGCTGTACAGTAGAAGGAGAATAACCTCTGATGGCCAGTACTGCTGTTACAGTGCAAAGAATCTCCATGACAGGACACAGTGATATGTTGCTGATTCAGAGTGCATTCCAGGCATCCATCTGTGAGACAGGACACAGTTTAATTGTATATCTGTGTCAGTCCAGGACATTTACACTTGGTGCCATTCCACTATGGTGTGCTGGACTGTTTGGACAGGACACACACACAGTAGTGACCACTATTCTTATCGATACCCAACGCTGTAGTACTTAACCTAGTGTACTATTCATAAATGATTACATTCAAATATGATACTAAGACGCATAAATGCCACGGTTTGTGGTGCACAGGTCAACCATCAGAGTGGCGGTGTACTGAAGGTCACATCCTCTCCTCCACCTCCTCTTTCCACACCCCGCAGGATATCCTCCACCACGTGCACCCGACTGTGCATCCGCAGCTGAGACTTATATATGAAGGTCCGGTGGCAGCGCGTGCACTGGTGAGGGCGGTCTCCGGCCATGTGAGTGCGTTGGTGTCGGTTGAGGTCGGAGTTTTGGCTAAAGCTCTTTGGACACAGGTGACATTTGTGAGGCTTTTCCCCGCTGTGGGTCCGCCGGTGGTGGATGAGGTTGGAGCTGTGTGTGAATGTTTTTTGCCGCACTCAGTGCACTGGAAGGGCCGTTCACCAGTGTGGGTACGCTGGTGATCCTTCAGCTGGGTGCTTCTGTTGAAAGTCTTGGGGCATTTTAGGCACTGGTAGGGGCGTTCCCCGGAATGAGTGCGCAGATGCTCTTTCAGCTGTGTGCTACGCAGGAAGGTCTTCTCACATTGCGGACACTTGTACTGTTTCACCCCACCAGTGGTCAGACTGTCCTGGAAAGTGCTGGCTGCGCCTGGTAGACCCCAGTCTATGGAGAAGTGATGAGCGCTGTTGTCTGCCACCACCAATGGCTGCTGCTCAGCTACAATTGTTGGTAAGGATCTCCTTAGCTGAGCCTGTCGCTCTTTTTCCTCATCAAAATACCGCAGCAGACTCCCCACCAGCACCTCCGGAAGAGGCTGCCCGCCATGTACACCCTTCACTTGCTCCTCAGGATGGTTGTGTGTGGGTGATATCTGTATGAGGGGAAACAAAGGAGGTTAACATTGATGGATCATAGGAAGGAATGCAATATCAAAACCACCGTATTGTTAGGCTACATGACTTAAAGCTTGTGGACACCTATCAAACCTACACTTCAAAGACATGCTGGTAGGTTAATTGGCTCCTGTCTAAATTATCCCTAATATATGTATTTATGAATGTGAGAAAGGGACCTTCGATTGTACACCCCTTGAGGGTTAAGTACTGATGTGAATGTACTTATATAGGTAAAGCACTGCGTAAATTGACGGCGCTATATAAGTACCTGAATTAAATATATGGACAAAAACATGTGGACACCCTTTAAAATGATTGAGTTCAGGAGTTTCCAGTTAAGGATACTGCTAATATTACAGCATACAAAGACATTTTGGATAAGTGCACTCTTCCAACATTGTAGTAACACTTTGGTAAAGACCCTTTTCTGTTCCAGCATGAATGTGCCTCTGTGTACAAAGCCAGCTCCATAAAGACATGGTCTGACCAGTTAGGTGAGGAGGACCTCAAGTGGCCTGCAGAGTCCTAATTTCAACACTACTAAACACCTTTGGTATGAACCTTAACACCAATTGTGAGCCAGGTCATCTCCAGCTCCTCTGACTTTACAAATGTTCTTTTGGCTGAATGGGCACAAATGTGTGTAGACACACTCCCAAACCTTATGAAAAGCTCAGAAGAGGGGAGGCAGTTATAGCTGTATAGAGGAAAGGGAGGACAACGCCATATTAATTCTCAATGGTTTTGGAATAGGGTGTCCAACATTAAGTAACTGTACTATGGGTGCGCGACAAGCAGTTAACCGCTTTAGTGCAGCCTCATAGCAGATAGCATACAGATAGCAGCGTTACCTATAATGCTACCACCTCCCCCTCACTGTTGGGGTCCCTCAAGGCTCTGTCCTCGGGCCCCTTCTCTTCTCTATCTACACCTCCTCCCTTGGCCAACTCATTCACTCTCACGGCTTCAACTACCACCTATATGCCGACGACACACAAATCTATCTCTCAACCCCCCACCTCACCCCCTCAGTCTCCGCCTGAATCACACACCTACTAAGCGACATATCAGACTGGATGTCGCTCCACTTCCTTAAACTGAACCTCTCCAAAACCGAGTTTCTTGTCTTTCCCCCCAGCCCGGACCCCACCCCCCATTGACTTCTCCATCATGTCCAACAACGCCACCATCAAACCCGCCCCGCAGGCCAGAGTACTTGGTGTCATTCTGGACTCCAACCTATCCTTCCAGCCCCAAGTCCAATCTTTAACAAACTCGTGCAGACTCCACCTCCGCAACATCGCCAAAATCCGCACGTTCCTAACCCCAGAAACCACTAAACAGCTCATCCACTCCCTCATCATATCACGACTCGACTACTGCAACTCCCTCCTCACTGGCCTGCCTCTCCGCTGGTTATCCCCGCTTCAGTCGATCCTGAATACGGCTGCCAGACTCATTCACCTTTCCAACCGCTCCATCTCCCGCCACCCCCCTCTGCCAATCCCTCCACTGGCTTCCGATTGCGCAACGGATCAAATTCAAAATCCTAATGCTGACGTACAAAGCTGTCCACCATACTGCCCCGAACTACATCACCGACCTAATATCCAAGTACCGCCCAGCACGCACACTCCGCTCCTCACAAGACCACCTCCTTCTCTCTAGTTCCCTGGTCTCCTCCTCCCATGCCCGCCTCCAGGACTTCTCCAGGGTGTCACCCATCCTCTGGAACTCCCTGTCCCAACCCATCAGATTATCACCTACTCTCCTCTCCTTTAGGCGCACCCTGAAAACCCACCTCTTCAGGGAAGCCTACCCCACCCCCTGCTAACTTGCCGACGACCTCCACTCCTCCTACCACTCCATCTCCCACAGCTTTCTCCTCCTGTGCCACCATCCCCTCCCTCCTAGATTGTAAGCTCGAAAGAGCAGGGCCCTCGATCCCCTCATGTTTTGCATTGTATTGTTGTTATTGTTCTGTCACATGTTCTGTCCCCCTTTGTAATGTACAGCGCTGAGCGAACTATTGGCGCTTTATAAATACGGTTTAATAATATAATAATAATAATACTGCTACAGGGCGGCAGCTGTGCGCAAAATCATGTATATATACTGGACGGCAAGTGGTTAACTTGTGATTGGTCAATTAGAGTGGTCACAAATGTAAACAGTATAGTGTTTACATCTGGTAGTCCCCAGTTCCAGATTAACCACTCAACCTCCAGAGGATTTACCCCCCCCTTCCTGACCAGGCCATTTTTTTGCGTTACGTCGCTGCGTTACTTTAACTGACAATTGCACGGTCATGCAACGCCACACCCCAGATGAAATGTACATCCTTTTTTACCCCACAAATTGAGCTCTCTTTCCCTGGTATTTGATCGCCTGTGCGTTTGTAATTTTTTGCGCTATAAGCTAAAAAAGACCGACAATTTTGAGAAAAAAAAAAAAAACTATTTTGACTTTCTGCTATTAAACATATCCAGTAAAAAAAAAATCTAATTTCGTCATAAATGTACGCCAAAATGTATTCTGCTACATGTCTTCGCAAAAAAAAAAAATCCCAACACGTGTAAATGAATTGGTCTATGTGAAAGCTATAGTGTTTTACAAATGGCGTTATATATACTGGGATTTTTTTTATTTTTACTGGCACGATGAGCGACTTATAGCGGACATTTTGACACTGGGGGGAACTGACTTGGTGTCACTGACACCAATACAGTGATCAGTGCTAAAAAAAAAAAAGCACTGACACTACTAATGGCACTGGGCAGGAAGGGGATAACATGAGGGGCAATCAAAGGGTTAACTGTGTGCTGGGAGTGTTTTACTAGGGGACGGGGGTGTGTGCTTTACTGTAAGCACACTGCTCTGAATGGCTGTGCTGTGCACAGCCATCCAAATCAGTCTGCCCGAGCTGACAGGGAGGAGAACAGTTAGTAAACAAAACAGTTCTCGCTGTCGGAGATCCTGGGAAATCACCGGGCGCCAGCGAGTAATTACCGGCCGGGGCCCGGTGATTGACACCCGCGGCCGCGAATGGTGACGCGGGTAGGGCGTGCGCCCCCCTACCCGGAAATGCAAAATCACGTATATATAAGTGATTTTGCGCACCCGTGCCGCCCCCTGTAGCAGTATTTCTGCTATAGAGCAGTCGGAAAGCAGTAAAGATCAATCACTTGTTTTCAATCAGCAGCAGACTGAGGGTGGGTGTTGATTGTGGGATCACTTTTAACCTGTGATTGGTCAACCACAGCGGTCAGAAATGTAAACCATATAGTGTTTAAATCTGGTAGCCCTCCACCCCCTGCCTCTTACAATGGAGGAAGGTGAAATTAATGAAAGATCATTCACTGGATCCAAATAAGCAGCAGATTCAAGGTAGGCAGAGTAGATCAGTTTTAACCCTTTCATCCCCCCCTTGTATCCTATGCTACTGATGTGTACCTATTCTCTAGAGGACTTGTGTATTAACCCTTCACCTCCCCCCTTGTATCCTATACTACTGATGTGTACCTATTCTCTAGAGGACTTGTGTATTAACCCTTCACCCCCCCCCTTTGTATCCTATACTACTGATGTGTACTTATTCTCTAGAGGACTTGTGTATTAACCCTTCACCCCCCCCCCTTGTATCCTATACTACTGATGTGTACCTATTCTCTAGAGGACTTGCGTATTAACCCTTCACCTCCCCCCCTTGTATCCTATACTACTGATGTGTACCTATTCTCTAGAGGACTTGCGTATTAACCCTTCACCTCCCCCCCCTTGTATCCTATACTACTGATGTGTACCTATTCTCTAGAAGACTTGCGTATTAACCCTTCACCTCCCCCCCTTGTATCCTATACTACTGATGTGTACCTATTCTCTAGAGGACTTGCGTATTAACCCTTCACCTCCCCCCCTTGTATCCTATACTACTGATGTGTACCTATTCTCTAGAGGACTTGTGTATTAACCCTTCACCTCCCCCCTTGTATCCTATACTACTGATGTGTACCTATTCTCTAGAGGACTTGTGTATTAACCCTTCACCCCCCCCCCCTTTGTATCCTATACTACTGATGTGTACTTATTCTCTAGAGGACTTGTGTATTAACCCTTCACCCCCCCCCCCCTTGTATCCTATACTACTGATGTGTACCTATTCTCTAGAGGACTTGCGTATTAACCCTTCACCTCCCCCCCTTGTATCCTATACTACTGATGTGTACCTATTCTCTAGAGGACTTGCGTATTAACCCTTCACCTCCCCCCCCCCTTGTATCCTATACTACTGATGTGTACCTATTCTCTAGAAGACTTGCGTATTAACCCTTCACCTCCCCCCCTTGTATCCTATACTACTGATGTGTACCTATTCTCTAGAGGACTTGCGTTAACCCTATCCTATACCCTTGTGTACCTATTCCTAGAGGACTTGTGTAGTAACCCTTCACCTCCCCCCTTGTATCCTATACTACTGATGTGTACCTATTCTCTAGAGGACTTGTGTATTAACCCTTCACCTCCCTTATCCTACACATCTGAATGTTAAACTTCCCATCTCAGGCTCTTTCTCTATGTGACCTGTATATTGACCACTTTGCCCCCTCTTCCCCGTGTATAACCTGTACATTTAAAGTGGTTGTAAACCGCAGAGACATGAAATATGAACAAAGCGTATCCCTCTATAGTGTGTACTTGTCTTATCCAGAGCACTGTCATTTAT